ATCCCGTGATAAGGAGAAAATACGTTACGGACGAGAGACAGTTTCAGCAACGAAAAGTCTCTAATGCTTGAGCTCACTTGTTTCTCCTAATGCCACTGTTGACGAAGAGGATATCACTGTACACCTGTATGACAATTACGATGCAAATGTAGACGCTACTCCCAAATCTTTCACGAGAAGCCACTGCTCCACGGCGAATAAAACTAGGCGTGAGGATACTGTAGCAAGGCGTTGTACGCAATGGCACGAAGTCGAGCTGCAAATTGTTTGAACTTCCTGTTTTGTTTTGATTGTTTCTAGGTGTTCACTGTGCTTTATTTGCCTTGTTTCTATCTCTCATTGCTTGAAACCCTTCTTTTTCATCATGTTTTGGGCGAATTTTAACTTCACACTAATAACATGAGCTCTCTCTTTTAGGAGTCTCTGATATATCATGGCTAAGCATCATCCAGATTTGATTTTCTGCAGGAAGCAGCCAGGAGTTGCAATCGGACGCTTGTGTGAAAAGTGTAAGCTTCATTCCTCATGGAGATGTAGTTCTTGTGTTTCTTTGATTTTTGTAACTACTGTTAATGTGGGATTACGATTTTCATTTACAAAGCCATTCGTCAGGGGAGGTGCTGAGATATGTTTACTGCACTTATTTTCGACCAAAAGAGGTTATTAGCTAAAATTTCGCCACGGTATCTCGTAGCTACAAATTTCGCCACGGTATCTCGTAAGAACACTATCATACTGAATGTGAAGAGTCAGCGATGCTTCCGAATCGCTGGCAGAGAGATGCGCTGAAGTAAAGTATTCGTATTGATCCGAAACATAAGGGATTGAGGTGAATTAGCGACAAAGCCCTGGATATCAGTAACCTCCATTATTTACGAACTAGCGAGTTCAATTGCAGAGCAATCCCTCGAATCACGGGTTCTCAGAGTGCTCTCATACTTTGCGTCAGCGATTTGATCGTACGACGCTAAATCCATACCTTTTTCTAGACGTCGAAGACGAAGCGCTGGAATGCGCTATTGTACGCTCAGATCAATAGATTGGTACCTGTTTTTTCCCAGTTGCTCGGAACACTGGTGCACGCTCTAGGCGCTGACGCAAAGTATGAACCCACCCTCGCGACTTTTCACATTCACAGTTTATAAACGTAGTCCAATGGATGACCCTGGGAATATACAAGAGAAAAGGAGCGCTCAGTATGGTTTTACCAGTGAGTGCCTGCAACGGGGTTGATATTCTGCTTATTAAAAGCTGCATTCGGCGATTTCTCAAGATCTTGTCGCTACTATTTATTAGGTTGGACGAAAAGTCCTGCGACACTTTGAACAAGTTTTCGGCACCAAATTTTCCTTCGCTAAAAGACATTTCCAATCTACAAGGTAATCACCATTAATGACTAAGACTAGTGCTCACCTTCTGCATATCACTCTTATAGAACTACGGCAACTACGATAAAAGGAAGAGGTGGACCTCATTTTCGAGTGGACGTCGATTTTCGAATTTTTGTTTTCTAAAGGATGCGGTAGGGATCAAAGGAGGTGGTAATTAGAGGCTGCTACTTTGATAAATAAGCTGGGTACGGTCGCATTCTCTGATCGAGATCCATGATCTTTTGGCGTAGCCTGATCCCCACATGCGGTCTTCGCATTGCCGAGTAGTAGAGAAAAATTGAGTATTTCTGAATGAATTCAAGCGTGACGTCATCCATGTTTTGAAGTTGATTAGAGTGGACTGTGGTCCTTACAGCTGTGCTAGTATCCAGCGATACCGCTTTGAAGTCCCACCAATAACACACTGAAATCTTTATCCCATGCACATCTTCTTTTGGCTAAGCAATCTACTTTTCTTTTGAGAGATCCTGCGAGGGACATGTGCATGATGTACGCAAGGACTCCACCACTCGCTACCAACCACAAGATCTCACAAAAGTTCTTTCGCTGTGTACAAGGAAAAGAAAACTCAGTCACGGTCATTCGGTATGACTTGTCAGACGGGTCCAACTCATGAGGCATCCTTCACAAAAAATTTTCCGATAACCGAGATTGCGGAGAAGCATGGCAGTTGTCAGTTAGGTGGAGCCTAGAGAGGTTGCCAACTTACTGGTGGTTACGTTCGGCTGCGCCTCAAGAAGCTTGAGTAAATAAAGTATAATGAGCTTGGCCTTCATTCTGTGCTGGTGGCTGACCTATACATTGCCGACCTCCGAATTAAATGAGCGCTCAAAAGCCACCCGCTGCCATAGCAAGCTATATACTTCCTCAAGACAACATAGGTGTTAGCTTCCTCGACTACGGCTGAGTGGCCCTACAGGAACTCATAATATGGGATAGGTCGAAAAGTACCTCGATCTCTGAGGGACTTTTAAGCTTTGAAAACTTCCTTGTCATGATATACCCATGTGCAGAAACCCCAGAGGACAGTCTCCACTAATCAGGGATGAAAACCTTCGAAATGTTTTTTTGGTCTTTTTACTAGAGCAATTCAATCAAAGTGTCGCAAGACTTTTCGTCCAACGTAATACTTGTTGAAACTTACGCGAGGAAACTTTGGGAACCTTTGGCTAGATTTCATCGAGTTTCTGCTTACTAGGAAAGGTCAATAGGTCAGCTTGGCCATTTGCAATGAAGATTCACTGCACTCATCTTTGGCACGTTGAACTCAGAACTGTCTTCAAAATTTGCACAACGATTCTATGAGCGCAGTTATGGAGGTGTTTCTTCACTGTTTTTCTTCTTACTGGCGAGCTGGCGCCGAAGCGTTGGAACATAGCGTTCTTCGCCGCCAAAACAGCTGTTTAAAATATTCGTGTTCAGGCGGATCGTCAAATCCACCCTTTGGGGACTTCACCTTGCAAACTTGAGTGTCTTGACTCAACTTCGAAAAAGAATGGGGCGATGGAAATAGTTCAGCTAACACGCGACTACTATTGAGTGACCAGGCCATCACGTGCAGGATAATGCTTACTGGTAGATAGACTGGCTCTTTCTCCATTCATGTGCTCTTTTCGTAAAAACAGTACCTGCCTTACTTCATTGCGCCGTCTGCTTCATTTTTCTAGACACTATCGGGGAGGAAATCCCATTCGCCAACACCGTTCTCTGGTACGCCGTGCAAGCTCTCAATCTGCTTGCCTAAATCAACCCATGGAATTAGCCACACTTTTCCAAGTTGAGGCTCGACAAATCAGATTTGGCTAGAACGCCTCGTCCCCGCGAGGGGTAACCTTTCAACCCGGCTGAACGATGATACTATGATTTTATAATTCACTTGCACAACATCCCTTCACGTCGTTTACGAAGGGTCACAAGCAGCAAGCTCACTCTTTCAACGCACAGTGGCGTCCTTTCACTTTCAAAAAAAAAAAACTGATCCAGTCCGGTTCCCCTTATAGTAGCTCATGCGAGGCAGTTAGAAGCCTTTGTCGCGTATGGTCTTGGACAATCATGCTCAATTAAAAACAAAGCTCACCTGCCCCTGAGCCGATCCTACCATAAGTCCTTGCTTAAGAGAACGCTGCTCCCTACCCGTTGCGCTCTGCTACCGCGTTTCAGAACGGCTCCATACATAAATGTAAAGACGCTTCCACATTTCCTAGCGATAACCTGTGAAACGACCATGATGAACCCTCCATAACTCCGTTCAGAGAATCGTTCTGCAAATTTTGAAGACAGTTCTGAGTTCACCGTCCCAAGACGCGTACAACGGTGTGCAGCTCATTGGAAATGGCCAGGCTGACCTGATGACCTTTCCTGGTGAGTTCATTCCCGAACGGTTTTTGCTGGGTACGTCCTCTGACCTCTGAGACACATTCGCAGCATTGTCACTAATTCTACTCGTATTCATCATTTCACCAAGGCAGAAATCTCCGATCCCTCCCATGACTTAGCTTCTCACAGCGCAGAAGACGAATTCGCTCGTTTCGGTTTGGCGTGTGCCTCCCGCCCACGCTAGCAGCGCCAAACGATAGGCTATGCACCACCTTCAAAAGAGTTCTATGCTGAACTCTCGGGATATTATGCGCCCTAAATGTAAGCGACCTTTCAGGCGATGGTCGTTGCGTTATCTGTGATTCATATGTGCGACCATGTTCTCTCGTTCGAATTTGCGACGAATGTAACTATGGATCTTACCAGGTGCTTGTTGTTTAGAGTTGTGGGCAGCCATTCTGCTGTACAATGTTTACACTTCCATTTGAGGGTCGATGTGTCATCTGCGGTGGTCCTGGTGTAAGCGAAGCGTACTATTGCAAGGAATGTACAATTATGGAAAAGGTGTGATTTTCATTAATTGAAAAATTTCGCAGTATTGTCACATTTTGTGTTTTAAAGTTTGGTTTGTGCTCTAATATCCATGAGAATGACGGCATTGAAATAGTTCAAGGGGGGGAGGGGGCAACGCGAGCAAAAGTGGGTCTGCTGCCTAACTGAGGAAAGTGATTCCTTCCTTTCCCTCATTCCCAGCCGTAGAAGAGCACAGACTACTAAGTGGCTGTAAACTACTCTTGCATCTTAAATGTGCCCGGCTACCTTTGCGCTATACTGTTGTTGCATCTGATCTGTCAAAGTGCATTTATGCTCTAGTTCTGAGAATATACAGGGGGGGGGAAGGAAGTCACTTCGACCGAGTCACATATCAGCAAAGTTTTCGCAGCCCAGACAGAGGACGTGGATACGAGTACCAGGGCGGAAGATACCCAAGATGTTCCTCGATAAGCAGGAGCTGGCTCTCGCCCATCACCTTCATGTACACCAAAATATGAAGTCATCTCCAATCGCAGCCTGACTGGAGAAGGCCTTTGGAATTCACGTCACCTCCAAACAGCTGCGAAACTTCTAGTATGGAGTCACCCATGGATAGCTACCTGGAGACCAGTACTCTCGATCTGGAAGACCTCCAACATCGAGCAGCTCCGACAACGTCGCTACGGTCTAGGATATCATCTTCACCGCAGTCGCCAAGGCGCGGGTTGATGGTATGGACCGGACGTACCTGGAATGGAAAGACCGATACAGACTGAAGGTGAGCGGTGGCGGTTACATCAAGCAACAGCAACTCAAGAAGATTATCCTCCCTGCATGTCGTCGCCCGTACCATCTTGGGAACTTTGTGCTGCTAAATCGAAGGGCGTTGGAAAACTTTCGCCTACTTGGAATGGAAGGGCGTTGAGTACCTGAAGAAGATGGAATATCCAAGTGTGTCACCTGACCTAAACCCCTCAATTACCCGGTTCGGGCGGAGTTCAATGGTCTACAGTGGCGGAGACATCAACTTATCTCGACATTTCCCGTAAAGGCGAAACAGACTCGATTAGCCAGACGGTCTACAATCAGCTAGAAACGCATCGGACATTGATGGTCTTCTAGTGTGGCTCAACGACGCTAAATACTTCTGATTGTTGAGCATTACAATTTTAGTTTAGTACAGTGAGCAACCATTGATCTGAAGTCATTTAGGTTCCAGTTCCACCCCAACTAACCCCCTCCGCCTTTCTTCAAAGATCACGAGAAAGTCATTAAAAAAGCAGCTGCCTACCGAAGAAGTTCGTTGCTAGTTAAGCTTACGCTAAGATGCTTCAGCAATGGAAACTGCCTGAAGCGTACCGCAAGTACTCTTTTGGTATCATTTGTAGCATTGTCTGCTGCCTGGAAGAGGTTCACTCGACTGCCCCCCTCTGAAGCTTATTAGCGCCCACTTCCTTTTGTACGGTTCACATGGATTTTTGAATGTATTACATGCGATTCAATTTTAGGACAGGGACGGCTGCCCGAAGATTGTCAATCTCGGAAGTGCAAAGACGGATTTGTTCTACGAACGGAAGAAATTTGGGCATAAAAAGAACTAGCATTTGTGGTTAATGGAGCGAGCCTTTGTGTCGATCTCGTTCCATTTGGGTACTTTCACGATGTTTTTGTTTTTTTTACTACTTTGTCGACGTATATTTGTGCTGATTTCATGAAGTAGCTGTCCAATAAAGGGCTTATTCAGCTTGTTTCCAGTGTTTATAGCAGGTATATGACCTTTTCATTCTTATTATTGCTAACGCAGCAAAAAAGATGATGTAGCGCGAGAGCTCGTTACACTACGTTACCTGTTAAGAGAGAGAGAGAGAAGATGTGTCATTGACGTCACATAACACGTTAATGATGTGTCTTTTCACGTCACATTTCGGCCCTCAGTACGGGCCCTCCTAATTCTCGTGTTATTTGACACATCATCTGGTTAACGTGGTGATACGTCTCTCCTAGCTCTTACCAGTTAACGGACTATTGTGACAGTACTTTGCAGTATGTCCGCTTCACATTCTAATAAACAAGTGGCTGCTGTTGAAGAGCTTCTAAACGCCTTTTCTGTCCCTGGCAATGGTACGTCCATTTATTCGCTGGTTCTTTCTGAAGATTTTGAACAAACTTTACCTTACAGCTTCACTATTGGAAAGTGCAGGATACCTCTTTACACATAGCAATATGAGTACTGGATCTGTTGGAAAAGAAGTGGCGAAATTCACAGCAAAAAGTTGGTTCTCGTTTTCTTCTACACAAGTGTTTGGCAGTTCATCGTTTGGCGCAGTCAGGGTTGGTGGGGGCACCACAAGATAATCACCGAAGCTCGCACACGCCATCTTGTAAAGATTTGTTAATTCCTTCTTGAGTGGTTCACTCGTAGACGAGTTTACAGGTTGCACCGGAGTGAAACCTGTTAGTTAATTTGCATTAGTAAAGGGAACAAGCAAAAGTGCAAAAAATCCTCCTCCCAGGCTTAACAGGGCCTGTGATTGTGTTCAAATCTGTACAGCTTCATTTAAATTCTGTCTTTATTCGAAGGATGGAAAATTCGAAGAGGAATGGTTTCAATACGCCAGTTTACGAAATGCACATAATCGTGCTATTGAGGCAAATATCAAGCCCCTGTAAATGGCAATTGTTAAGCGTATCTCTTGCGCTTGAACTTTTTTCCCCATGGTGTTGCCGCAGAACCTTTTAGCGTGGAGAGGTCTAGGTTAATGGCTGCTAGAGCATTGACATGGTAAATATGGCGGTTTGGAGGTTTTCTTTTTTCAAGGGAAGGGCCCCGAGGTGGGTGAGCCACTTAGTTTCTGTAAAGTTCGAATGCGTAAGGTGTGGTCCTAGATGCAATGTGGAAACAGCGCAGAAAAGAGCTGAAGGTCAATGAAGTTTAAATGGCCTGGATCAGGTAGTAGACCCTCACACTTCGGACTACACCCTTGCGTGTATAGAAAGGGACCAAGAGGAGGGAGAAATGGGAGTTGTCGTATCTCAGTCAGGGCACGTTCTGCCGCTGGGGGGAAATTCTCGCGGTACTTTTTCAAACTTCCTACTTTCTATCGAAATTTCCCAGTGTTCCCCAGTTTTCCCGTAAAAGTTTCGCCGTAACGCGTGAAGTGAGTGGTGGCGGTATGTAGCACCAGTGGAGAAAAAAAAACGCGAAAATCCTCATCAACTATTACGTTGGAAGGAAAGTGCTGTCAGTGTTTTTTGGAAAGCTACAGTTTTTGATTCTCGATACTTGAACATGACGTAATGATGATGCTTGTACATGACGCTATGCTTGTAGGACACTCTGGGAGCCCTGCAAGAGGTGTGTGAGGGCGCCTGCTCTTTCCTGGGTCTAATTACGATGTCAGGAGCATCTTCGGGTCATCATCATGTATCGGTGGCCCCGCAGCACTGGAGCCACGGCAGCTGTCCGCAACATCAACAGTGCATTGCGGAGGACACCACTACCATCAGGACTGTCCACCTCTGGTTCGCTCGCTTCGCGAAAGGAGACACGATCCTCGAAGACAAACCTTGGTTGGGGCGGCCCCACAGAGTGCGAGAATCCACCATTCTCGAAGCAGTCAAGGAGGATCCAGAGGCTACCACCCGCAGTCTTGCGACAAGACTCGGATGTACCTAACTGACAGTCGTCCACCGCCTGTAAGCCCTTGACTACCAAAAAGTACTGGCTCGATGGATCACTCATACCTTGACCGATGGCACGCTGCGCACCCGGGTACCCCTTGGTCAGTCTCCCCTTCTCCTCTCTCGTCAGAAGGAGTTTCTAGGAGGCTGCCTAGTGGAGTTGAGAGATGGGTCCTCTGTAATTTCAAACCACACAGTACCGTGTGTCCCTCTCAAGGAAAGATCCATTCTAGCAGTCCAAACCGAACATGTGTTCCAGAAGGTTCTCCTGTGCTGCTCCTGGGACGCGAGAGCAACGGTGCACAACGAGCTGCTCTGTAAGAACACACGGTCACCGCTACCATT